TATTCTTTTGCACCCAACTTCACATTTAAGCCGTATAATTTTTATATGCTTTGAGAGCTCATATAGCAAGGCTTGTGTGTGAAAAATTCCAATTAATTCTACGCAGTAGTTTTTGGTTGGTGCCCTTCTAAATATGGAGAGCGATAAGCAGCATTTTCGACATATCTTACTGTTTTACTACAGAAAGGTAAACAAATAAAACACAAATAAAAGTTCAAAACTGTTTATTTATTTAATCGAGAAAATTGGGAATTATCGTGATCGTCAGTAGCACCTTTAATAATTACGTTGTGTGTGTATTGTAGTTGCGAAGGGGTCGAGTGGCGTAGAGGAAGTTTGCTATTGAAACACCTGTTTTTCTTTTATTACTATATATTGTCATGTTCGTGGGTTTAACAAAATTAACTTCTAAGACTGATAACGACAAAAAGTATTTATTTACACTACTGTTGATATATCACTATTCACTCGTAAGTACCATTTTGCTATGACACTTCATGCAATTTTTAATTTTATTTTTTGTTAACGACTCTGTAATAAATTTGAATATTAATACGCAATTTCATTGTTGGTAATGTTTACCATCAAAAAACGCGTTTACACTTCTAGAAAGATTAACTAATTTCTGTAAAATACTATTCCAATATTAGTTTTCATTAGTCGCTTACGCTTTATCTTTTTCATTGCTTTTTAAGATAAATATTAGGCAATGAAGAAGAAATAATATATTTTTACGTTAACTTATTAAGGGTACATATTTTTTGTTGTACTATTCTTTCGACTTTATTTATTACACTTAATTTTTTAACAATTTCATTTCCTTTAGTTTTGTAACTTACAACTTTTACTTTCATGTTAATTTTTTTGAAGTTATGACAATTTAAGAAATTTTTAATTTTATTAAAGAGAAGTGTGTTCAAATAAAATATGTTTGCATTATTATTATTCTATTCATATTACTTAGTAAAAAAGTCGGTTATTCTTTTTATAATTCTGCATGAGTGTTTTGAATTAAAAAATTAATATGTTATAACTATTAGCTCTCGATAGTAGTCTAAGAAAAGTGAAAGACTTATGGAGGGCCTAACCGCTTTTACAAAACCAAAGGCATCCTATTTAAGAGGCTTATATCTCCAAGAAAAGGGCGCAAACGTCAAACAGACGTACTTAAAGAGCGTAAGCGACATATTTTAAAATAGAAATGGATTTTACGTAAAATTTGTCTTTTAATGAACAAACCGGTATTTTTTATCATAGATCACTTCATTTCACAGAAAGCAGTTAAAAAGATACTATTAAAACAAATTAACAGTTTTCACCTTCTCCTGATAAAGTTGGAGAATGTCGCTTATGCCTTTTTGTCGTGACGCCATCGATATATANCAAGGCCGAGAGAAGAAATGGGAAGTTCTGTGACTTTTGGATTACTTCAGTACTATGAAACAATCGCAATAATCCTATAAATGATCCCTGAATATAAAAAAAGAAATACGTAAAAACAAAAATATATTATGTAGTTGTTTCTAGGGTGCAGTAATTCAACATGTATAAGAAGTAACACTTCAAATGTCTGAAGATGGTTGAATAAACCGAAACGTTACAAATAACATAAAGTTGTTTAAATATTTGACCGCCACCCTGAAAAAAACTATATAATTTAAAAGCAACGGTCAGGAATCTAAATTGAATTTATTTTGAATACATTAAATACATTGTAGTTGCTTTTTTGTGCAATGTACATTGGATTTTGGATTAATTTTTTAATGTAGATGCGTGACATTCCATTTCATCAACAAGTTAGATTTGAAATCACTGATGCACAATCGAATAGCTGTCATTAAGTGATCATCAGTTAAAGAACTCCTCAATTGCGATTTGATGTTTTACATTTGAGAAAACGTTGCTCCACATAGATAAGTAGAGCCAAAAAATGTAAATATATTTATTGTCACCGATCTCAATCATGCAGGTAATAAATTCCAAAAATGCTTTTTCAGAATTGTATCTAATTGTATTGTTATTAACTCTAGATGCGAAGAAGTCAATTGAAAAGTATAAGTTAAATTTGATGAAATATCGTCATCAAATTCTTCGAAAGGAAATGAAATAAATTCAAAAATCAGTTGAAGATTATTGATAATTGCAAATCGTCTATCAAACTCTTGATTTAAAATTTTTGGTACACATTTTGGATTAAAAGATTTGAAATTAACCTAGTAAGTTATTTAAAATGTCTACGATCGACTGTCCAACTGTTCGCGATGGATCGATCGACCGTTTTCCACCCCTGCTCTATATAATGTAAAATGAGATAGAATGAACGCACAACCTGTTTGACGGCCATCAGATAACAAGTTGAATCATGCACCAATCTTTTTTATGTCATTTCTAACCCTTTGGAAAGTAGACATTCTACCAAAGTACTTAATAAAAATCTTCTACATAAAATTATCATATTAACCTGGACGCCCCACATCTTAGCCACTCGGAACAAGGTCATGGGTGCATTCATCACACTCAAGCCTTTCTTCTCCATCTATCAGCATACAAAAATCCGTGCGTTTGACGCAATGATCAGGAGCATTTACACCTATGCCATTCCCGTCTGGGGTTGAGCCCTTCCCCACTGCCTGAAACTTCTGCAAGGCAACTACATGCGGATCCTTCGTTCCGCACTAAACTACTCCTAGTTCATCAGAAACACTCAAATTCTAAAAGAAACCGGTTTATCTTCTCTTCCTGAGGCTGCAATCTCATTCGCGGCAAATCTCCAGCCTCAGTGTCAAACTCCACCATTTCGACACTCTCCAACTTCGCCCCGAAACCAAATGACCTGTCACCTTCTACAATGAGCCACTCACTTTCGCTCACTTTTAGCTTCGCTTTTTAGCGCGAGTGTCCACCCATCACCTCAGAGGTGGACCACATACTTCAAAGGTTTCTATCCCCTAATACTCCACCCAAACTCAACCTTTTTCCCAACTCAATCCTTTTCCCTATACCAATCTTTCTATTTCCTTGCCGGGGATGAGCAACCTTCAGGTTTATCTTCCTACTCGAGGAGGGGTTTTAATCGGTAAAAATCCGACACACCTCCCCTCAGGATATGTCTTTTGAGTATTCCCCTGTTCGAGAATAATCTAAACAAACAAAAAGCCAGGTTCATACATCCCCTTCTGGCGACGAGTTCCCCGCTAAAGTACAACGTACAAAATGCCATTGTGCAGCCACAGTTGAAATATATTCTGCATCTATGTTAGAATCAAAGTCTGCCAACGTAGGTATGTCTGGAGCATGGCGTTGTACGGGTACAAAACGATGACGGTGGGTGCGGAGGAAAAGGTTAGAAGAATTCGAAATGTGGTGTTACAGGCGAATGATAAGGATACTGTAGATAGAAAAGGTTAGAAATGAGGAAGTATTAGAAAGAGTAGGAGAACAGAGCGCTATGGAGGTAAATAAGAAGTAGGCGAGACAGGTTCGTAAGACACCTTCTCAAGCATGAAGGGCTAGTTAGAGATATCAGAAGCAAAAACGGAACTAAAAGAAGCAGAGGTAGACCAAGCTTAGATTACTGTTCAAAGATAGTCAAAGATGAGGAAAATTTCAGTTTTAGGGAAATGCGAAGATTAGCTCAGGATAGGAAACAATGCAGGTGCGTGTCAAATCAGCCTTAGGAGTGACGACCTTACGATAACAATAATGAATAGTGTATCACCAACAAAGTTACCAAGACTAAAAATGTTCATTTTATTTTATTGATGATTTTGACTGAAGTGGATATGTCATCAATAACATTATTCTTGTCTGGTATGTAACACATGATAACATTAAATCTTATATTCTTTAGTGTTGTATTCTTTTAGTAATTCTATTTTTTGGTTGCGAAGCAAATCATCGATAACGCCCTTTACACGAATAATTTTAATTTGTTCATTCATGAAGATCTGGACTTCGTGAATGCGAATTTTAGGTTTGAATTTTTGAACCTTGGTATCATTATTTAGCGTTTGAGACAGGTCGATACTCTGATATTTTAAATCGTTATTTACTTAGATTGTCAGTCAATGGATGCTGTACTCTTCTGTGTATCATTCTCATTACCGAATTCTTACATGCCTTGCACCATTAAGCATACCACTTTTCCTGCTTCATAATTGCAATCTTATCTTCAGATGCATTTATTTCTGTATAGTTTAGTAACTCTAGAGACTTTAATGCATAGTTGTCGTGAAATATTCCTTGGCAAATGAAAGGAAATACAATGTTACACAATTTAGACGACATTATTAAAATACAACACTTCAGATAAGTATACCACAAACGATATAACCGTCAGGCAACACAGTTCACTCTTAACTCTGAAACTAATTACTTAAAGCAATTCGCCTCTAAACTGAAGAATCTTTATGCGATAAACAATAAAACGAAATGATACGAAAAAATTAACATCGTTATCATTTAGCATTTCCTTTTCAAAAAGAGTAAATGGTTTCATACCTGCTTCTTTACCTCCTTTTACACAAATCCCAAAACCATGGGTACCGTCTGGAGGATCTCTAATCATCGTAACGGTTCGAGTAACTAATTCATGAACGTTAGAAGGGGGACGATAGTGTATGGTAGATGCGGGACTACTAGCTGGACTTCGTCTGATAGGCCGTTCAGAATTTAATTTTGAATTCGATTGACTGTGAGTCCCAAACATTCGCAGCACTTGTTCAGGAGAGATCGGGCGTTTCTTGTTGCTCGAAGTATTACGATCGAAAGCTGGATTCGAACCCAAGTATGTTCCTGCAAAAATTAAAAAAAATCATTTAAAACCAGTAACAACGTCAACAATTTCATTATTTGGAAGTCATACATTGACTGAATAATTTTTGACTTGATTCAGCAATAACAATTTATGAATACTGATCAATTGACTTACAATTATATCTACAGGTGAGACAAGATGTACTTTTGACACTACAAATATGGTTTAACACGTAAATGAGTTCTCCAAAACGTCTGTGGAACAAAAAATGGATTTTTTGAACGATACGGATTTATTGAAATCAAGAAAAACACTAAAATGAAAATCCTTGATACGTATTATTTCTCAAGAAATAGAGTTTCCGGGATGCAATTCATTTAGCCGACAATTAGATCTCAGTAAACAGGGTGTTTCTGAAATAAGTAGCAAGCTTACAAGAAGCAATAGAACACCATAAAACAAAAACATTAAATAAATGTTTTCGAGAAAAACCTATTTGAAAGTTTACGTATCTGCATTTTGGAGATACAATTGTTGTACAGTGTTTGAATCCACATTTTCGTTGTTTTTCCAAAGTTTTTTATTTGTTCGCATAACATGCTGTCTACTCTCGCGGCTTTCCTTTTTTTGCCATTTTGATTGCCTTCCTAACTTCGTCATAGGTAATCTGTGTGGGGATTATCCTTCCTCTCGATTTAACTCTGTTGTCAGTTTTCCCATTGATGGTTTGCTATGACGCTCGGCATTTCACCTCTCTGAGTACGTTTACCATTATTTCTTCAGGAGAAGTCACACCCTCCCACTGTCTTTTCTGAAGTTGAGGGTTTCAAGGAGATTCTGCCAGTTAATTCTCCTATCTTTTGCGGTCTCTTCCGCGATATCAAAGCCTATTTCTATTGTGTTATTGTCGAACTTATTGGTGTAGTCTTGATATTTCGAATCAAGCTCCTTCTTCATACCCGGGATGTATACCTTTCGTGCCCCTCGTGAGATTTAAATTCCTGAGATCTCCTTAACCACTGCCACAAAAATATCATATTCCTCCAGTTCCGAAGGGACGCGACTTACTCTGTTGTCAAGCGCTTCCCTGAACCCCTTCCAGTCAGATTTTTTGAAGTTACAACGAAACCTTTCCTCCATCTACAACTGTTGAAGGAAACCGGTAGCTTTGAGTCATGCATCAGGTTTAGGTCGTTTCTTTCCGCTCAGTCCTCCACCGTTGCCGTTTGGATCAGTTTCCCTTCTTATGAAGCAGTTTTCCAGTTCGATGATGAGCACTTCGATGTCCGTCCCATTTATCTGCGTTGCACTAAAAAGCTGAATATTCTGAGCGACCAGGATTGCGCTGCTGTTTCCCATAGGGTCTTTCGACTACTACCTTCATTCCAGCTATTTTGCGTCCGCGGAGTTATTTAGTTAATTTTTATTTTATTGGTCGATTAAACATTATTATGTGTAGTAACGTAGTAGTGTGACCAGTCCGCCCCGGGTCGGATACGAACTCGTCAAAACTAGTGCGGGGTAGATATAAACAAATAAGAAGCAAATAAACTTTCAAATGGACAGTAATCGTCAATAGTGGTAGGATGTTTTATACATACTTACTTAGAAATACATGCTAACAAGGAAAGCACATTATACCTTAACAATTCATTTTAAATAATATTAAATTGTATGTCAAGTCAAGGAGACCAAGTGTTTATAACCACACTTGCTGTAAGCCCATGTACTACCTTTGGTAGCACATGATAAAGTACCTGTTGTCTGAATTTAGTCATTTACCTATAACAGATCACGAGCGTAGAGTAATAGCTTGTTTGTATATCGATGGCGTCACGACAAAAACGCGTAAGCGCCAAAAAATGAAAAACAAGGTTTTAATGTCAATTTAAGTAAATTAACTCAGCTAATCATCTAATATAACGCCTGCAAGCGACAAAAATTTCCTTCGTCAGTAAATTGAGCTAAAATTTTTGTAAGCGACAATTTCATTCTAAGAAAAATCGAGGTTAAACAGCATTAAGCACCACGCTTTCATACAGAGAGGTTAGCCTTACGCTCATTGTCGAGACGTCGAAAAATTTTAAAAAAGTAAGTTTCATTACAATTTTTCTTTATTAATTATTGTTATAGCAAGCTGTCGATATTAGTTTT